TCGCTTCGTGGCCCCCAGCACCTTGTTTGCCAACGGCTCCACCTACCCGCCCAACGAGGGCTTCTGCCCCTGCCTGGAGTCTGGGATTCAGAACATCAGCACCTGCAGGTTCAGTACGTGCCTCTCGTCCCCCGGGAGGGTGGGCGGGAGGGTGTAGCCGGACGCGACCAGGCATCTCTCTGTCCCTATGCGCCCCCGCCGTCTGTCTAATCTCTGGCCTCTTTACTCTTGATAATTCCATTAATTGGCCGGAGATAAGGAGGGCAGCGGACCGATGATCTGAAAAAGCAATACGCCGCGTAGATTAGTGGCTGTCTCACGAATTCCCACAACCTTAGGGGCCGAGAGCGACAGCGACTTTATGGCCTCTGACGGTGCGACGCAGGCCTCCCAAGGCGAGGGCTCAGATGCCCGCGGGCTGACACCTTCCTGGCTGGACGCTCGAGGGCAGATCCACGGGCCGCTGTGCCCTTGGGAGGCCCCCGGAATCCCTTGGTTCCTGGCCCCTGTCTCCAGCCTCACCGCCAGCGACACCACGTCTCTCTGGCCCCACGTCCACGATCATCTCTGATCCCCCCACATCTCTCCTGCTTCCCTCTTCCAGTTTGAAGACCCCGGAGACCATCCCGGGCCCCCCGGGGGTAATCCGGGCCACACGCCCTGAGTTAAAGGCTAGCCGATTAGCAGCCTTAATTCCGCCTGCGTCCTTCGGTCCCCTTGGCCGTGGGGAGGCTAACGTTTTCGCGGGCTCCACGGACGTCTTTGGGGAGGGCCTCGTTGTGCCTGCCACACCAGGAGACGTGCCTTGAGGACGCGGCCTCGTGGGAAGGGCCCTTTGTCCCATGTTGGGAGGAGAGGAAGCCTCTGCTTGTGGATGGAGCAGTGAAGGGGGTCCGCCCTCCCTCCCGGGACCCCGCCTCCTCGCGGTCCGGGCCCCTCCCTTTGGCCCCCGCCACGTCACACTGCCGTCACCCCACGCACCATGTGTTCCCCAGTCTGCCCGGTGCGGTCACTCACCAGTGGCCCCACGGGGCTACGTAAATCGAAACGGGTTTGAATGCAACCAGGTTGAAAAGGTGGTGCCTTAGTCGCACTGGCCGCCTTTCAGATGTTTACCACGCACATGTGCCTGGTGACCTCCGTACGGGTCGGCCAGCACAGAAGGACCACATGTTCATCGTTGTGGAAAGGTGTGTTGGACGCTGTTCTAGACAGCAGCCCGAGGGACCTTTCCAAAACACAGATTGCCAGCCAGCCCTTTGCTTCAAATGTCTAACAGCTCCCCCGGACGTATGCCGGAGCCCTGACCCTGGTCTCCGTGCTCTGCGGGATCTGGCCCGTGCCAGCTTCTCTGACATCGTTTCTTCCTCTGCTTCCCCCACCAGCTAGTCTTCAGCCCCATCGTCTTCTCCCTGTTTCTAGAGTCGGTCAAGCTTGGTCCTACCTCAGGCCCTTTGCATCAGCTGTCCCCCTGCCTGCAGAGTCCTTTCCCTAGATATCCATGTGGATCTATGTGGATCATTCCTTCCTTTCCTTTTGGTCTGTTCAGATGCCACCTCCTCCAGGTGGCCTGCCCTGATTTCCATGCTGAAGTTGCCCCTGCCAGCCGCTCTCTGTCACTTCACCCTTGATCGCGTTCTTGGTTCTTGGTGCTCGGCACTCCCTGAAATCCCTGACTGTGTGTTTTGTTTTATTTATGGTCGGTGTCCTTCACTAGACTGTAAGTGTTCTCGGCAGGGCTCTGTCCTCAGCTTCTAGAACTGTGGCTGGTATGGAGCATTTGAAGGTATGGGTGTGTGGGTGTATCCTGCACTTAGGACACTGGGGCTCAGGGCTGGGACATGCCCGAGGTCACACGGTTGGTGGGACAAGAAACCACTCCTCACATGACTGGGTCTTGCCTCCTGGGGGCCTGTGGGGGGCCGAAGCCGCCTTTCCAGCTGGAGATGGGGATCCGAGAGGGGTGGTTTGCAGCAGGGTTTGTGGGGGAGGACTGTCTGTGGGTTGGACGACGTCCCCAAGCTCAGGCAGAATGGGGTGCTCAGTAGGTGACGGGTTTAGAGCTGGGGGCTGGAAATGCCCTCTGTCGTGGCCTTGTGTGAGCCCCCCTGGCCTTGCCCTCTGTTGAATTCTTCCTTCAGTGGGGTCTGTGGGCATGGCTCCAGAGATCAGCTGTCGTCGGAAGCTGCCTTCCGCCCAGTGTGCCAGCTCGGTTTTCTTCCGGGCTGGCTTTGCTGCCAGGCAGGCTCTCCCCTCGGGCCCCAGGCTCCCCTGCTCCCCTCTGGGGGTCCTGCACAAAGGGGGCACCATAAGACCTCCTCATCCTGCAAAAGCTCCCAGGGTTCACCCTGATTGGTCCACCTTGGATCCACGGCCAATCACCATGGCCAAGGGTTATGCCGATTGGCCAGGCTGTGTCACATGCTCAGCCCCTGATTCCGTGGGTGGGGCCAGCACTCGCCTAGCCTGTGAGGGGCGGGCTGGTTCCAGGGTTGGGGTCTAGGTTGCAGAAAAAAGAGTGGGTGCCCGGCAGGCACAGACCGTATGTCCATCTGCTCGGGAAGGCTAGGGACAAGGTTGGCACTGTCTCAATTTAGCACATCTGCCCAAACGACCTCAAAAGTGCAAGGGAATTTTAGGGGCATCCGGGTGGCTCAGTGGGTTGAGTGTCGCAGTCTTGATACGGGCTCAGGTCATGATCTCCCAGTTCGTGGGTCGGAGCCCCAGGTGGGGCTCTGTGCTGACAATGTGGAGCCTGCTTGGAATTCTCTCTCTTCCTCCGCCCCACCCCCCACCAAATAAATAAATAAACTTAAAAAAAAAAGCACAAGGGAATTAAAACATAGGTATAAAGATTTTTCCCTTTTGTGTTGACATGAACACGTGTACCGAGAGGTCCCCAAGCAACACGTGCAGTTTGAAATTCCACAAAGCGCACGGACCCGTGTAACCGGCACCCGGATCATGACTCTCGGCTCCTCAGACTTCCGTGCTGTGTAAGGTCCTCAGACTTGCTCAGCAGAGCCTCTTAGTCATAATCTGTGGCGATCCTGGGCTCCGGTCTGGCTGGGGGCACCACAAAGCTATAAATGGCTGACCAACTCATTGCCCGTGCCGTTTGGAAATCAAATAGAAAAGGGCACGTGCATGTGTGCTTGCTAGGAAAAATCAAGCGTGCTTAGCGTCCGAAGCAAGTGATGGCACGTTGGTCTCACCCACTTTAGGTTTCCCCAGGCTTGGACGCACGCGGGGGCTTGTTTGAGATTTGCGACCCTCAAGGGCCTGACTGCCCCCCTTACTGAGGGTCTCGCTTCTGCCGTCTGTAAACATGGGGTCCTCGTGTTTGCTTTGGTGGTCTCCTTTCACGGCAGAGATGGGAGAATGGGAAATGAGGTTTTCCGAATTGTGGGATGTTGTCTCTGGGGCTGGGGTGCTCAAGGTAGCTTCGAAGGTCCCAGGAGGTGGCTTTAAGTGACATTGACTGACTTGGGAGAGAGGCTTCGTGCTTTCCCAGTCCCTTACCCTCCTTCCAGGTACCCCCAGCAGAGTCTCTGTCGGTGCTAAGAGGCCTTTCCAGCGCCCATCTTTTTTTTTTTTTTTTTAATTTAATTATTATTATTTTTTTACATTTATTTATTTTTGAGAGACAGAGCACAAGTCAGGGAGGGGCAGAGAGAGAAGGAGACACAGAATGTGAAGCAGGCTCCAGGCTCTGAGCTGTCCGCACAGAGCCCGATGCGGCGCTCGAACTCACGAACCGTGAGATCATGACCTGAGCCGAAGTCGGACGCTCAACCGACTGAGCCACCCAGGCGCCCCTCGCCCATCTGTCTTTTAAAAAGATTTTTATTTTTTTTATTTTTTAAAAGTTTATTTATTTATATTGAGAGAGAGAGGGCACCAGCAGGGGAGGGGCAGAGAGAGGGGGAGAGAGAATCCCAAGCAGCCTCTGCCCTGTCCGGACAGAGCCCACTTTGGGGCTCAAACTCATGAACCACGAGATCATGACCAGAGCCAAAATCAAGAGTCAGACACGTCACCAACTCAGCCACCCAGGAGCCCCTAAAGTTAACCATTTAAAAATGTTCAGTCCAGGGCTGCCTGGGTGAGTCGGTTAAGTGTCCGACTTCGGTTCAGGCCATGATCTCACGTTTCGTGAGTTCGAGCCCCGCATCGGGCTCTCTGCTATCAGCACGGAGATCCTCTGTCTCCCTCTCTCTGCCCGTCCCCACCCCCCTGTCAAATTAATGAACATTTTTAAAAATGTAAAAAAAAATGCAGTTCAGTGGCATTTAGCACATTTACAATATTGTGCACCTACCGTCTCTGTCTAGTTCCAGAATGTTCTCATCCTTCCGAAAAGAGACCCATACCCGTCACCAGCCACTCTCCATCTCCCCTCCCCCGGCCCCTGGTGAGCTCAGTCTGCATTCTGTCTCTAGGATTTGCCTCTTCTGGATCCTCGTGGGTTTTTGAGAGAGACTCATTCTTTTCCTCGTCAACTCATTGTCCGTCAGGCCCTTTGTACGTTGTCCTGAGCATACGAGGATGCGTTGGTGTTTGCCTTGCTCGATCAGTTGATGGGGAGGTTCAGCCTCATGTTTCTGGGTGTGAATTGCTCACACGGAGGGGCCCGAGTCAGTCCCTGTTCACACTCGCTGGCGTCCGTCCCCCACACCGGCTGCTGGGAGAGGAGAAGCGAAGCAGGTGTGTCTCCTTCCTTCCCATTACGTTAGGGAGACCTGGCCGCAGGCGTGCACCCCTCCGCGTCTCCGAAGATCGCCGCGTTGCCTGCAGAATACAGCCTGGGCTGCTTGGCTTGGCGATCGAGATACCCCTTCCCCACCCAAGTCCAGCTCTGGCCTCGACTTACCTTTCTCTCCTCAACTCCTGTAATTCTCCTCCATGCCCTGTCTGCTCCACGTGCACCGTGCATTTCCCCACCTCCCTGCCTTTGCTTCTGCCAAACCCTCCCCCTGAAATGTCGTGCCCTGGCCTTCCCTGCCTGGAATATTTTAACCATCCTCCTTTCCTTCCTGTGATCTCCTCACCCGCGTCAGCAGCTCCTCCGTTCCCATCCCTGGGACACAGGGCTCGTCTCTTCCCAGTGCCTGGCATCTCTTGGGCACTTGACAGGCATTTACAGGCCGGATGAAGGGATTCTCTCTGTCTAGTTATTGTCGTTTGCATTTTGTCATCATCCGCGGGCTCTGCAGGCAGCGGCTCTGTTTCATCCCGTGAGCCTGGCACGAAGCAAGCCTTGGACGTGCTGACGCTCTCCCTTGTCTGATGCCCCCCCCCTTCTCTCCGCCCCTCTGCCTTCTAGATGCACCCTTGTTTCTCTCCCACCCTCACTTCTACAACGCCGACCCGATGCTGGCAGAGGCGGTGCTTGGCCTCCACCCCAACCCAGAGGAACATTCCTTATTCCTGGACGTCCACCCGGTGAGCCCTTGCCTGTCAGCCTGTGGGGGGCGGGATGCCAGCTTCTCCCCCTTCCCTCCCCCCAGGCACTGAGCTATTCTGGTGGTGGGGTAGGGGGGTGATGGGAAGCCTGGCTTTCCTTGGCATTGATAGCTTCTGGAATGTCAAGCTGTCAGAGGTCCCTACTTTGCCCTGACTCCATAGTTCAAGGGATTCATTATTTCGTCACAAGGGAATTGTCTTTCTGAAAGGACCATAAGACAGTAAATCAGTTAGAATTATCAGCATACCAGTTAGCCAGAGGAGCCCTCTGACCGTGCCAATATATCATAAAGATCTCTAGGTCCCGACAAGAGCCTGGAATATCTTGTAGATAAATTGGGTTCTGGGGAATTTGTCCTCTGTCACATTCTGTCTGCAGGCGGGGACCAAGAGAAGAGGGTAGCAGGCCCACAGAGGTGGCCCTCCTGTGGGCCTATCTTTACCTGATTGCCTTATCTCCTAGTATCGCTGTCACTGTAAAAGGTGCCCATTTGGACCTGGCGGCCTTCGCTGTTGATTAAAAATCCTGCGGGGTTCTGTCTCCTGCATGGACACTCGTGGCCTTCCGCACAGGCCTTTTTCAAACCTCTTCTGCCTGACACCGTTCCACGTCATTTCTCTGTGTGCCCCTCAGATTTTCGGAGCTCCTGACTCCGTTCACCAGCCCCGGCACTCCACCTTCTCCCCCTGCCCCGCCCCCCTCTCTTTTCACTAGGAACCCAGGCTAGTTAAGTCAACTGTGACTACATGCACTTCAGCTCCAGCAAATGGTGCTTGCACACTCATTATGGTCCAGACACCAGCCGGAGACTTTCACATGCAGTAACGCAGTAAATTTGCACAATTATCTGGGCAGTGAGCACTGCTCCTCCCATTGGACAGATGGGGAAACTGTGGCCCAGATAGGTCACGTGATACAACTAATAAATGGGACCGTTGGCTCCACAGAGGAAAGATCCGTTCTGTTCCGTTCATCGCTTGACTTCTAGCCGTTCGCATAGAGGAACTCAGTAGGTATGGGTTTGATAAGTGGGCAAAAGGAAGTGGCAAAGCTGAGTTCAAACACAGGCCTTCTGACGCCCCCACCTCATGTCCTGTGCTAATATCTAGTGAATTTTAATGAGGTTAATTTAATGGTATTCATTAATTAAATTGGTAGTAATTAATATTAATATATTATGTGTTCCATTGAAGTTCGTTCTTTCTTGTTAGAAATGTTAAGGCTCGGGGCGTCTGGGTGGCTCAGTCGGTTAAGCGTCCGACT